CCTGTGTTCCTTCCTGACAGGGCACGCGTCGCAGGTGATGCGGGTCATCTGTACAGGACAATACGTCATCAGCAGCTCCAAGGACACCACTGCCAAGGTCTGGCTCTTTGACACTGATGACCTTCGGGAGGGCGAGGAGGAGAAGGCTTGCATCCGGACCTTCAAGGTAATGACACGGCCGTTGGACCTCTCTTATACCTCTGTTTCCCCAGGTCTTAAACCAATTTGTCAATCAATTATTATGGAGGCAAGCATGCACTTACAGAAGCGGTGTAAGTACTCGTTTTAAAGGAGAACAGTGGTGCTTTGTATAGCGTCTTATAAAGCGTTTATAGGTCTGCTTTTTAAAGCGGTGAGGTGCTTTACAGACCTGACCGTGACTCGCCTCGTTTTGTCCGCCGATTTTAACTCGTAGTGCTTAGTAACTTTATTTCTTCAAGCCGCATTACTGTGACTTTGTTTAACTCATTTTCGTTCCATCAACAATACTGAAGTATACTGAGTCTCCCCCGTCCCACCCCCCTCCCCCTCCTCGCTCAACATCCCTGTCACCTGTGCCTGTCCCTCCTGCTCCCCCGTCTCTCGTGTCCCCTGCGCCTCCCAACCTTTTCTTCTCTCTGCTCACTCGCGCTCACCGAGAAAAGTAGTGTGTCAGTACAGTATAACATACTATTTAGTACGTGGTCTTGGGTAGCAAAGTAGCCATCCATAGTGTCCTGAGACTATGGAGTTGGGCTCTGGTTGTCGGTCTGGAGTGGCCTCTCCAGGGCGCAGAGCCTGGGTTTGTTGATGAGACATGAGTGCGAAAATCTAAGGGATAAGATTCAAGAATGGGCTTACGATTCATGAAAGATGGACGAAGATGAGAACCGGAGCTAACAGTCGAAAAGTGGGATCCCAGTACGATCGTGACCGCCAATTGGTCCGCCACAATAGTGCCAGGGAGGTGCCACGCACAGCCGGGGAGGATAGTCGTGCCACGACCGTCCACACGACCGTGCGGGTGGTCTGACAGGCCACACATCCTCACCAAGCTTTATACTCTTAATTATAGTAAACGGTTTATATTCTTTATATATAGGTTTGTTTCACTACTTCTTCGTCCTATATATGTTTGCCTGGGGGCTAGACTGAACACTGAACGCAAATAAGTAATTAGCAGAGTGGAAGAGGTGTACAACTACATATAGATCAATATATCTGGCCATAAGTGGAGCTCTGGTCAGATTGTCGACCTTCGGCTGTTCCAACTTTTGTGGCGGGGAAGCCGGCAGCGAGGAACCTGGTCTCAGTGTCTATGGAAACACACCGATTGACGACCCAGGGAACGGCTGGTGTGAAAGAATGGATTTGATTACCCCCTGCTACACACCTGGTGTGTTTATTCCCTGCTACACACCTGGTGTGTTTATTCCCTGCTACACACCTGGTGTGTTTATTCCCTGCTACACACCTGGTGTGTTTATCACCTGCTACACACCTGGTGTGTTTATTCCCTGCTACACACCTGGTGTGTTTATCACCTGCTACACACCTGGTGTGTTTATTCCCTGCTACACACCTGGTGTGTTTATCACCTGCTACACACCTGGTGTGTTTATTCCCTGCTACACACCTGGTGTGTTTATCACCTGCTACACACCTGGTGTGTTTATTCCCTGCTACACACCTGGTGTGTTTATCACCTGCTACACACCTGGTGTGTTTATTCCCTGCTACACACCTGGTGTGTTTATCACCTGCTACACACCTGGTGTGTTTATTCCCTGCTACACACCTGGTGTGTTTATTCCCTGCTACACACCTGGTGTGTTTATCACCTGCTACACACCTGGTGTGTTTATTCCCTGCTACACACCTGGTGTGTTTATCACCTGCTACACACCTGGTGTGTTTATTCCCTGCTACACACCTGGTGTGTTTATTCCCTGCTACACACCTGGTGTGTTTATCACCTGCTACACACCTGGTGTGTTTATTCCCTTCACCTGCTACACACCTGGTGTGTTTTATACACACCTGGTGTGTTTATTCCCTGCTACACACCTGGTGTGTTTATCACCTGCTACACACCTGGTGTGTTTATTCCCTGCTACACACCTGGTGTGTTTATCACCTGCTACACACCTGGTGTGTTTATCACCTGCTACACACCTGGTGTGTTTATCACCTGCTACACACCTGGTGTGTTTATCACCTGCTACACACCTGGTGTGTTTATTCCCTGCTACACACCTGGTGTGTTTATCACCTGCTACACACCTGGTGTGTTTATTCCCTGCTACACACCTGGTGTGTTTATCACCTGCTACACACCTGGTGTGTTTATTCCCTGCTACACACCTGGTGTGTTTATCACCTGCTACACACCTGGTGTGTTTATCACCTGCTACACACCTGGTGTGTTTATCACCTGTTACACACCTGGTGTGTTTATTCCCTGCTACACACCTGGTGTTTATCACCTGCTACACACCTGGTGTGTTTATCACCTGCTACACACCTGGTGTGTTTATCACCTGCTACACACCTGGTGTGTTTATCACCTGCTACACACCTGGTGTGTTTATCACCTGCTACACACCTGGTGTGTTTACCTGCTCCCTGCTACACACCTGGTGTGTTTATCACCTGCTACACACCTGGTGTGTTTATCACCTGCTACACACCTGGTGTGTTTATCACCTGCTACACACCTGGTGTGTTTATCACCTGCTACACACCTGGTGTGTTTATCACCTGCTACACACCTGGTGTGTTTATCACCTGCTACACACCTGGTGTGTTTATCACCTGCTACACACCTGGTGTGTTTATCACCTGCTACACACCTGGTGTGTTTATCACCTGCTACACACCTGGTGTGTTTATTCCCTGATACACACCTGATGTGTTTATCACCTGCTACACACCTGGTGTGTTTATCACCTGCTACACACCTGATGTGTTTATCACCTGCTACACACCTGGTGTGTTTATCACCTGCTACACACCTGGTGTGTTTATCACCTGCTACACACCTGGTGTGTTTATTCCCTGCTACACACCTGGTGTGTTTATCACCTGCTACACACCTGGTGTGTTTATCACCTGCTCTGGTGTGTTTATTCCCTGCTACACACCTGGTGTGTTTATCACCTGCTACACACCTGGTGTGTTTATCACCTGCTACACACCTGGTGTGTTTATCACCTGCTACACACCTGGTGTGTTTATTCACCTGCTACACACCTGTGTTTATCACCTGCTACACACCTGGTGTGTTTATCACCTGCTACACACCTGGTGTGTTTATCACCTGCTACACACCTGGTGTGTTTATCACCTGCTACACACCTGGTGTGTTTATCACCTGCTACACACCTGGTGTGTTTATCACCTGCTACACACCTGGTGTGTTTATCACCTGCTACACACCTGGTGTGGTGTGTTTATCACCTGCTACACACCTGGTGTGTTTATCACCTGCTACACACCTGGTGTGTTTATCACCTGCTACACACCTGGTGTGTTTATCACCTGCTACACACCTGGTGTGTTTATCACCTGCTACACACCTGGTGTGGTGTGTGTATATCACCTGCTACACACCTGGTGTGTTTATCACCTGCTACACACCTGGTATGTTTATTCCCTGATACACACCTGATGTGTTTATCACCTGCTACACACCTGATGTGTTTATCACCTGGGGTCATTATGATGCATCATCCCACTTTCACGACAAAATCAACAGCAGTAATGAACTGATTATCAATAGTAAAACAAAATTATACAATTTATTTAATAATTATGCAAATGAAAAGTATAATTTGGTCTGTAAAGATTCTCTTGGTGTTGTGTGGTTCAGGTTAGCCAGGTTTCTCCCAGGACCAGGCACCAGGACTCTCCCAGGCACTAGCTCTCTACCACGACCAGGCACCAGCTCTCTCCCACGACCAGGCACCAGCTCTCTCCCACGACCAGGCACCAGCTCTCTCCCAGGACCAGGCACCAGCACTCTCCCAGGACCAGGCACCAGCTCTCTCCCACGACCAGGCACCAGCTCTCTCCCAGGACCAGGCACCAGCACTCTCCCAGGACCAGGCACCAGCTCTCTCCCAGGACCAGGCACCAGCTCTCTCCCAGGACCAGGCACCAGCTCTCTCCCAGGACCAGGCACCAGGTGCCCCAGTGGACCAGACCCCTGAAGCTCCAGGCCTTCACCGGGACCGTGGCCAGCTAGGTGTCAGGTCTTAACACATACAGCGGTCAGCTAGGAGATGTGAGATCTACCCCGGGTCCAAGATCACCAGGTGTGAGATCTACCCATAAGGTGTTCCCAGACACCTTGATCAGGAGGTGTCAGGTGTTCACAGGGACCATGGTCAGGAGGTGTCAGGTGTTCACAGGGACCATGGTCAGGAGGTGTCAGGTGTTCACAGGGACCATGGTCAGGAGGTGTCAGGTGTTCACAGGGACCATGGTCAGGAGGTGTCAGGTCTTCACAGGGACCATGGTCAGGAGGTGTCAGGTGTTCACAGGGACCATGGTCAGGAGGTGTCAGGTGTTCACCGGGACCATGGTCAGGAGGTGTCAGGTCTTAACAAGGACCATGGTCAGGAGGTGTCAGGTCTTAACAAGGACCATGGTCAGGAGGTGTCAGGTGTTCACCGGGACCATGGTCAGGAGGTGTCAGGTCTTAACAAGGACCATGGTCAGGAGGTGTCAGGTCTTAACAAGGACCATGGTCAGGAGGTGTCAGGTCTTAACAAGGACCATGGTCAGGAGGTGTCAGGTGTTCACCGGGACCATGGTCAGGAGGTGTCAGGTCTTAACAAGGACCATGGTCAGGAGGTGTCAGGTCATGCCCGGGACCATGGTCAGGAGGTGTCAGGTCTTAACAAGGACCATGGTCAGGAGGTGTCAGGTCATTAACTGGCCTTAACGACTCTCACTGAATCCAACGATGACACAAAACGTCATCTCAATTTATCGTCCGAAACCATAGAAAAATTTTCGTCAGAAAATGACCAAATAAAATAAAAATTAAAAAATTAGAAAATAATTACGTAGAAAAAAATGAAGGAAAATGCAAAGTTGGTGAAAAAGTATGAGGAACTACGAGACAATACTGCGGAGATGACCTCCAGGACTCTCCCAGGCACTAGCTCTCTCCCACGACCAGGCACCAGCTCTCTCCGAGGACCAGGCACCAGCACTCTCCCACGACCAGGCACCAGCTCTCTCCCACGACCAGGCACCAGCTCTCTCCCACGACCAGGCACCAGCACTCTCCCAGGACCAGGCACCAGCTCTCTCCCACGACCAGGCACCAGCACTCTCCCAGGACCAGGCACCAGCACTCTCCCAGGACCAGGCACCAGCTCTCTCCCAGGACCAGGCACCAGCTCTCTCCCAGGACCAGGCACCAGCTCTCTCCCAGGACCAGGCACCAGGTGCCCCAGTGGACCAGACCCCTGAAGCTCCAGGCCTTCACCGGGACCGTGGCCAGCTAGGTGTCAGGTCTTAACACATACAGCGGTCAGCTAGGAGATGTGAGATCTACCCCGGGTCCAAGATCACCAGGTGTGAGATCTACCCCTAAGGTGTTCCCAGACACCTTGATCAGGAGGTGTCAGGTGTTCACAGGGACCATGGTCAGGAGGTGTCAGGTGTTCACAGGGACCATGGTCAGGAGGTGTCAGGTGTTCACAGGGACCATGGTCAGGAGGTGTCAGGTGTTCACAGGGACCATGGTCAGGAGGTGTCAGGTGTTCACAGGGACCATGGTCAGGAGGTGTCAGGTGTTCACAGGGACCATGGTCAGGAGGTGTCAGGTGTTCACAGGGACCATGGTCAGGAGGTGTCAGGTGTTCACAGGGACCATGGTCAGGAGGTGTCAGGTGTTCACAGGGACCATGGTCAGGAGGTGTCAGGTCTTAACAAGGACCATGGTCAGGAGGTGTCAGGTGTTCACAGGGACCATGGTCAGGAGGTGTCAGGTGTTCACAGGGACCATGGTCAGGAGGTGTCAGGTGTTCACAGGGACCATGGTCAGGAGGTGTCAGGTGTTCACCGGGACCATGGTCAGGAGGTGTCAGGTCTTAACAAGGACCATGGTCAGGAGGTGTCAGGTCATTAACTGGCCTTAACGACTCTCACTGAATCCAACGATGACACAAAACGTCATCTCAATTTATCGTCCGAAACCATAGAAAAATTTTCGTCAGAAAATGACCAAATAAAATAAAAATTAAAAAATTAGAAAATAATTACGTAGAAAAAAATGAAGGAAAATGCAAAGTTGGTGAAAAAGTATGAGGAACTACGAGACAATACTGCGGAGATGACCTCGAAGGTGGAGGACCTGCAAGACGATCGTGACTATTACTATTGGGAGTTCCAAAAATGTAGAACCACACTGCAGGAACATGAAAGCAAAGACATCGGTGCGCTCCAGGCAGAGCTTAAAGACCTTCAGAAGCATTTCGACAGCTGCGCACGCTTTCGCGAGACGAGTAAAAATATCTACATGCCACTCAAGGCAAAAATTGAATCTGCCAATATTAGGGCAAATAAATTGTACAAAGATTTACTACAAGCGCAATCGGAGGAAGGGAAATGTAAAGACTAAGTAGAGGGCCTCAGGGCGTAATACAGGGATCTGTATCGTAACTATTATGCGTTACATGAACGCGGGAAGAACGAGCTGACTGCTATGGTCAGTTAGAGAGACCACGCCCATCAATAATTTACCCATGTTAAAGGTGAGCTTGAGGAGAAACACAAGCAACACGAGCAACTGCACAAGGAGCACCATGAGCTTATTGCTCATGTGGAAAATATGAGACAAATTGTCGAGGAGAAGCAAAAGCAGCACAAAAGGCTGCATAACAAGCACCAGAAACTTATCGTTGATTTAGAAGACATGAGAAGTATCGCAGACGAAAAGCATGAGTTGCACAATGAGGTGACGAATGAAAACCTAATTCTCCGCCGGAATATTGCAAGATTGAGAAAAACCGTCGCTGCCAAAGAGACAGAGAACGCCCAGCTTCGTGAGCAACTATAAGCTTCACATTCACTCTCCAAACGCAGTAGTAATGATATGGAAACTGTTGGTGAGGATGAGAGCGAAGATCACTCGCAAGGAGAAGCATTAATGAAGAGGGAAGGTGTAGAGCACAAAGATCACGTGATTAACACGTGCGACGCTGTTGAAGCTCAACTCTAACAAAAACATGAGGAACACGCACTTCTCCACTCAGAGCTCGAAGGTGTCAAACAAAAACACAACTCTGTCGAAACCGAGTTTAGAAACGCTTTGAATTTAAGTGACTATTGGAAAGACTAATATAACCGCAAGAATAAATAATATAAATTTGTTTACAAACAAATGTTGATAAAAGATAAATTGATAAAAGAGTATTAAGTGAGAGAAATTAAGTGCTAGAGTGAAAAGAAGGAAATCTGGTCAAGATATACAAGTATATCTGCTGATATGTTGCGTACGAAAACATCTCATAAAATAGAAGAGGGACTTCTTAATTCAGAGCTGAGGCACGTGAGACAATCACTTCACCAGGCCGAGGTCACCTTAAGTGCAATTCAGACACGAACACTTGCCTGTTAACTCGATAATGAACGGAAACAAGAAGAAATGGAAGCGCTTAAAAAGGACATCAGGTTGTTAGAGACTATTGGTGAACAGTGTCTGAAGCTTGAAGACGCGTGTCAGTAACACAAGGTTCACATTACGGAGCGGGGTCAGCAAGAGACAGCTAGACTCACAGCAACTCTCAAAGAGTCTCAACAAAAATTGTAGTTCATCGAAGCAAAAATTAAATCTGCAGCATCGAGAAAACCACAATCGTCACCCGCTAACGAATATTATCCTAAAACGATGTTATTAATTATAACTGGAATTGCCTTGTTTAGACTATTTAAATGATTATATTTGGCACGTTGTGCGTGACACGACCTCCCCGTTGTGTGTGGCACGACCTCCCCGTTGTGCGTGGCACGACCTCCCCGTTGTGCGTGGCACGACCTCCCCGTTGTGCGTGGCACGACCTCCCCGTTGTGCGTGGCACGACCTCCCCGTTGTGCGTGGCACGACCCCCCCGTTGTGCGTGGCACGACCCTCCGTTGTGCGTGGCATGACCCCCCACGTTGTGCGTGGCACGACCTCCCCGTTGTGCGTGGTTTGACCCCCCACGTTGTGCGTGGCACGACCTCCCCGTTGTGCTTGGGACGACCTCCCCGTTGTGCGTGGCACGCCCCCCCCGTTGTGCGTGGCACGACCCCCCCGTTGTGCGTGGCATGACCCCCCCGTTGTGCGTGGCACGACCCCCCCGTTGTGCGTGGCACGACCTCCCCGTTGTGCGTGGCACGACCTCCCCGTTGTGCGTGGCACGACCTCCCCGTTGTGCGTGGCACGACCTCCCCGTTGTGCGTGGCACGACCTCCCCGTTGTGCGTGGCACGACCCCCCCGTTGTGCGTGGCACGACCCCCCGTTGTGCGTGGCACGACCCCCCGTTGTGCGTGGCACGACCCCCCGTTGTGCGTGGCACGACCCCCCCGTGGCACCCCCCCGTTGTGCGTGGCACGACCTCCCCGTTGTGCGTGGCACGATCTCCCCGTTGTGCGTGGCACGACCTCCCCGTTGTGCGTGGCACGACCTCCCCGTTGTGCGTGGCACGACCCCCCGTTGTGCGTGGCACGACCCCTTCGTTGTACGTGGCACGACCCCCCGTTGTGCGTGGCACGACCCCCCGTTGTGCCCCCCCCCGTTGTGCGTGGCACGACCCCCCCCCCCGTTGTGCGTGGCACGACCCCCCCCCGTTGTGCGTGGCACGACCCCCCCCGTTGTGCGTGGCACGACCTCCCCGTTGTGCGTGGCACGACCTCCCCGTTGTGCGTGGCACGACCTCCCCCGTTGTGCGTGGCACGACCTCCCCCGTTGTGCGTGGCACGACCTCCCCCGTTGTGCGTGGCACGACCTCCCCCGTTGTGCGTGGCACGACCTCCCCCGTTGTGCGTGGCACGACCTCCCCCGTTGTGCGTGGCACGACCTCCCCCGTTGTGCGTGGCACGACCTCCCCCGTTGTGCGTGGCACGACCTCCCCCGTTGTGCGTGGCACGACCTCCCCCGTTGTGCGTGGCACGACCTCCCCCGTTGTGCGTGGCACGACCTCCCCCGTTGTGCGTGGCACGACCTCCCCCGTTGTGCGTGGCACGACCTCCCCCGTTGTGCGTGGCACGACCTCCCCCGTTGTGCGTGGCACGACCTCCCCCGTTGTGCGTGGCACGACCTCCCCCGTTGTGCGTGGCACGACCTCCCCCGTTGTGCGTGGCACGACCTCCTCCGTTGTGCGTGGCACGACCTCCTTCGTTGTGCGTGGCACGACCTCCCCCGTTGTGCGTGGCACGACCTCCCCCGTTGTGCGTGGCACGACCTCCCCCGTTGTGCGTGGCATGACCTCCCCCGTTGTGCGTGGCACGACCACGTTCAGCTTCTGCATCTTAACTTTACTACATTTCTCTTCTGCTTATTTTTTTTTTCCTTCACAGAGATACTTTTTTCATTTGAAGCAATATTATTGTGAAGGAAAGAGGCAATTAAGAGAAAATGGTGGTAATAGTAGTAATAGTAATAGTAATAGGCATCCATCAGTGTCAGGAGACTATGGAGTTGTCTCCTGAGTACTTTTATCCCCAGGTGCACACCTGGTGTACTTTTATCCCCAGGTGCACACCTGGTGTACTTTTATCCCAAGGTGCACACCTGGTGTACTTTTATCCCAAGGTGCACACCTGGTGTACTTTTATCCCCAGGTACACACCTGGTGTACTTTTATCCCCAGGTACACACCTGGTGAACTTTTATCTCCAGGTGCACACCTGGTGTACTTTTATCCCAAGATGCACACCTGGTGTACTTTTATCCCAAGGTGCACACCTGGTGTACTTTTATCCCCAGGTACACAGCTGGTGTACTTTTATCCCCAGGTGCACACCTGGTGTACTTTTATCCCAAGGTGCACACCTGGTGTACTTTTATCCCCAGGTACACAGCTGGTGTACTTTTATCCCAAGGTGCACACCTGGTGTACTTTTATCCCAAGGTGCACACCTGGTGTACTTTTGTCCCCAGGTACACACCTGGTGTACCTTTATCCCCAGGTACACACCTGGTGTACTTTTATCCCCAGGTACACACCTGGTGTACTTTTATCCCCAAGTACACACCTGGTGTACTTATACCCCCAGGTACACACCTGGTGTACTTTTATCCCCAGGTTCACACCTGGTGTAAGTTTATCCCCCAGGTGCACACCTGGTGTAAGTTTATCCCCAGGTGCACACCTGGTGTAAGTTTATCCCCCAGGTGCACACCTGGTGTAAGTTTATCCTCCAGGTGCACACCTGGTGTAAGTTTATCCACCAGGTGCACACCTGGTGTTAGTTTATCCCACAGGTGCACACCTGTTGTAAGTTTATCCCCCAGGTGCACTCCTAGTGTAAGTTTATCCCCAGGTGCACACCTGCTGTAAGTTTATCCCCAGGTGCACACCTGGTGTAAGTTTATCCCAAGGTGCACACCTGGTGTAAGTTTATTCCCAGGTACACACCTGGTGTAAGTTTATCCCCAGGTGCACACCTGGTGTAAATTTATCCCCAGGTGCACACCTGGTGTAAGTTTAGCCCCAGGTACACACCTGGTGTACTTTTATCCCCAGGTACACACCTGGTGTACTTTTATCCCCAGGTACACACCTGGTGTACTTTTATCCCCAGGTACACACCTGGTGTACTTTTACCCCCAGGTACACACCTGGTGTACTTTTATCTCCAGGTTCACACCTGGTGTAAGTTTATCCCCCAGGTGCACACCTGGTGTAAGTTTATCCCCAGGTGCACACTCAGTGTAAGTTTATCCCCCAGGTGCACACCTGGTGTAAGTTTATCCCCCAGGTGCACACCTGGTGTAAGTTTATCCCCCAGGTGCACACCTGGTGTAAGTTTATCCCACAGGTGCACACCTGTTGTAAGTTTATCCCCCAGGTGCACTCCTAGTGTAAGTTTATCCCCAGGTGCACACCTGGAGTAAGTTTATCCCCAGGTGCACACCTGGTGTAAGTTTATCCCCAGGTGCACACCTGGTGTAAGTTTATTCCCAGGTACACACCTGGTGTAAGTTTATCCCCAGGTGCACACCTTGTGTAAGTTTATCCCAAGGTGCACACCTGGTGTAACTTTATCCCCAGGTGCACACCTGGTGTAAGTTTATCTCAAGGTACACACCTGGTGTAAGTTTATCCCCAGGTACACACCTGGTGTACTATTATCCCCAGGTACACACCTGGTGTACTATTATCCCCAGGTACACACCTGGTGTACTTTTATCCCCAGGTACACACCTGATGTGTGTACCCCCAGGTACACACCGGGTGTGTTTATCACCTGCTACACACCTGGTGTGTTTATTCCCTGCTACACACCTGGTGTGTTTATCACCTGCTACACACCTGGTGTGTTTATTCCCTGCTACACACCTGGTGTGTTTATCACCTGCTACACACCTGGTGTATTTATCACCTGCTACACACCTGGTGTGTTTATCACCTGCTACACACCTGGTGTGTTTATCACCTGCTACACACCTGGTGTGTTTATCACCTGCTACACACCTGGTGTGTTTATCACCTGCTACACACCTGGTGTGTATATCACCTGCTACACACCTGGTGTGTTTATCACCTGCTACACACCTGGTGTGTTTATTCCCTGATACACACCTGATGTGTTTATCACCTGCTACACACCTGATGTGTTTATCACCTGGGGTCATTATGATGCATCATCCCACTTTCACGACAAAATCAACAGCAGTAATGAAATGATTATCAATAGTAAAACAAAATTATACAATTTATTTAATAATTATGCAAATGAAAAGTATAATTTGGTCTGTAAAGATTCTCTTGGTGTTGTGTGGTTCAGGTTAGCCAGGTTTCTCCCAGGACCAGGCACCAGGACTCTCCCACGACCAGGCACCAGGACTCTCCCAGGACCAGGCACCAGGACTCTCCCAGGCACTAGCTCTCTACCACGACCAGGCACCAGCTCTCTACCACGACCAGACACCAGGACTCTCCCAGGCACTAGCTCTCTCCCACGACCAGGCACCAGCTCTCTCCGAGGACCAGGCACCAGCACTCTCCCACGACCAGGCACCAGCTCTCTCCCACGACCAGGCACCAGCTCTCTCCCACGACCAGGCACCAGCACTCTCCCAGGACCAGGCACCAGCTCTCTCCCAGGACCAGGCACCAGCACTCTCCCAGGACCAGGCACCAGCTCTCTCCCAGGACCAGGCACCAGCTCTCTCCCAGGACCAGGCACCAGCTCTCTCCCAGGACCAGGCACCAGCTCTCTCCCAGGACCAGGCACCAGGTGCCCCAGTGGACCAGACCCCTGAAGCTCCAGGCCTTCACCGGGACCGTGGCCAGCTAGGTGTCAGGTCTTAACACATACAGCGGTCAGCTAGGAGATGTGAGATCTACCCCGGGTCCAAGATCACCAGGTGTGAGATCTACCCCTAAGGTGTTCCCAGACACCTTGATCAGGAGGTGTCAGGTGTTCACAGGGACCATGGTCAGGAGGTGTCAGGTGTTCACAGGGACCATGGTCAGGAGGTGTCAGGTGTTCACAGGGACCATGGTCAGGAGGTGTCAGGTGTTCACAGGGACCATGGTCAGGAGGTGTCAGGTGTTCACAGGGACCATGGTCAGGAGGTGTCAGGTGTTCACCGGGACCATGGTCAGGAGGTGTCAGGTCTTAACAAGGACCATGGTCAGGAGGTGTCAGGTCATTAACTGGCCTTAACGACTCTCACTGAATCCAACGATGACACAAAACGTCATCTCAATTTATCGTCCGAAACCATAGAAAAATTTTCGTCAGAAAATGACCAAATAAAATAAAAATTAAAAAATTAGAAAATAATTACGTAGAAAAAAATGAAGGAAAATGCAAAGTTGGTGAAAAAGTATGAGGAACTACGAGACAATACTGCGGAGATGACCTCGAAGGTGGAGGACCTGCAAGACGATCGTGACTATTACTATTGGGAGTTCCAAAAATGTAGAACCACACTGCAGGAACATGAAAGCAAAGACATCGGTGCGCTCCAGGCAGAGCTTAAAGACCTTCAGAAGCATTTCGACAGCTGCGCACGCTTTCGCGAGACGAGTAAAAATATCTACATGCCACTCAAGGCAAAAATTGAATCTGCCAATATTAGGGCAAATAAATTGTACAAAGATTTACTACAAGCGCAATCGGAGGAAGGGAAATGTAAAGACTAAGTAGAGGGCCTCAGGGCGTAATACAGGGATCTGTATCGTAACTATTATGCGTTACATGAACGCGGGAAGAACGAGCTGACTGCTATGGTCAGTTAGAGAGACCACGCCCATCAATAATTTACCCATGTTAAAGGTGAGCTTGAGGAGAAACACAAGCAACACGAGCAACTGCACAAGGAGCACCATGAGCTTATTGCTCATGTGGAAAATATGAGACAAATTGTCGAGGAGAAGCAAAAGCAGCACAAAAGGCTGCATAACAAGCACCAGAAACTTATCGTTGATTTAGAAGACATGAGAAGTATCGCAGACGAAAAGCATGAGTTGCACAATGAGGTGACGAATGAAAACCTAATTCTCCGCCGGAATATTGCAAGATTGAGAAAAACCGTCGCTGCCAAAGAGACAGAGAACGCCCAGCTTCGTGAGCAACTATAAGCTTCACATTCACTCTCCAAACGCAGTAGTAATGATATGGAAACTGTTGGTGAGGATGAGAGCGAAGATCACTCGCAAGGAGAAGCATTAATGAAGAGGGAAGGTGTAGAGCACAAAGATCACGTGATTAACACGTGCGACGCTGTTGAAGCTCAACTCTAACAAAAACATGAGGAACACGCACTTCTCCACTCAGAGCTCGAAGGTGTCAAACAAAAACACAACTCTGTCGAAACCGAGTTTAGAAACGCTTTGAATTTAAGTGACTATTGGAAAGACTAATATAACCGCAAGAATAAATAATATAAATTTGTTTACAAACAAATGTTGATAAAAGATAAATTGATAAAAGAGTATTAAGTGAGAGAAATTAAGTGCTAGAGTGAAAAGAAGGAAATCTGGTCAAGATATACAAGTATATCTGCTGATATGTTGCGTACGAAAACATCTCATAAAATAGAAGAGGGACTTCTTAATTCAGAGCTGAGGCACGTGAGACAATCACTTCACCAGGCCGAGGTCACCTTAAGTGCAATTCAGACACGAACACTTGCCTGTTAACTCGATAATGAACGGAAACAAGAAGAAATGGAAGCGCTTAAAAAGGACATCAGGTTGTTAGAGACTATTGGTGAACAGTGTCTGAAGCTTGAAGACGCGTGTCAGTAACACAAGGTTCACATTACGGAGCGGGGTCAGCAAGAGACAGCTAGACTCACAGCAACTCTCAAAGAGTCTCAACAAAAATTGTAGTTCATCGAAGCAAAAATTAAATCTGCAGCATCGAGAAAACCACAATCGTCACCCGCTAACGAATATTATCCTAAAACGATGTTATTAATTATAACTGGAATTGCCTTGTTTAGACTATTTAAATGATTATATTTGGCACGTTGTGCGTGACACGACCTCCCCGTTGTGTGTGGCACGACCTCCCCGTTGTGCGTGGCACGACCTCCCCGTTGTGCGTGGCACGACCTCCCCGTTGTGCGTGGCACGACCTCCCCGTTGTGCGTGGCACGACCTCCCCGTTGTGCGTGGCATGACCCCCCCGTTGTGCGTGGCACGACCCTCCGTTGTGCGTGGCATGACCCCCACGTTGTGCGTGGCACGACCTCCCCGTTGTGCGTGGCACGATCCTCCGTTGTGCGTGGCATGACCCCCCACGTTGTGCGTGGCACGACCTCCCCGTTGTGCGTGGCACGACCTCCCCGTTGTGCTTGGGACGACCTCCCCGTTGTGCGTGGCATGACCCCCCCGTTGTGCGTGGCACGACCCCCCGTTGTGCGTGGCACGACCCCCCTGTTGTGCGTGGCACGACCTCCCCGTTGTGCGTGGCACGACCTCCCCGTTGTGCGTGGCACGACCTCCCCGTTGTGCGTGGCACGACCTCCCCGTTGTGCGTGGCACGACCTCCCCGTTGTGCGTGGCACGACCCCCCGTTGTGCGTGGCACGACCCCCCCGTTGTGCGTGGCACGACCCCCCCGTTGTGCGTGGCACGACCTCCCCGTTGTGCGTGGCACGACCTCCCCGTTGTGCGTGGCACGACCTCCCCGTTGTGCGTGGCACGACCTCCCCGTTGTGCGTGGCACGACCTCCCCGTTGTGCGTGGCACGACCCCCCGTTGTGCGTGGCACGACCCCCCGTTGTGCGTGGCACGACCCCCCCGTTGTGCGTGGCACGACCCCCCCCGTTGTGCGTGGCACGACCCCCCCCGTTGTGCGTGGCACGACCCCCCCGTTGTGCGTGGCACGACCTCCCCGTTGTGCGTGGCACGACCTCCCCGTTGTGCGTGGCACGACCTCCCCCGTTGTGCGTGGCACGACCTCCCCCGTTGTGCGTGGCACGACCTCCCCCGTTGTGCGTGGCATGACCTCCCCCGTTGTGCGTGGCACGACCTCCTTCGTTGTGCGTGGCACGACCTCCCCCGTTGTGCGTGGCACGACCTCCCCCGTTGTGCGTGGCACGACCTCCCCCGTTGTGCGTGGCACGACCTCCCCCGTTGTGCGTGGCACGACCTCCCCCGTTGTGCGTGGCACGACCTCCCCCGTTGTGCGTGGCACGACCTCCCCCGTTGTGCGTGGCACGACCTCCCCCGTTGTGCGTGGCACGACCTCCCCCGTTGTGCGTGGCACGACCTCCCCCGTTGTGTGTGGCACGACCTCCCCCGTTGTGCGTGGCACGACCTCCCCCGTTGTGCGTGGCACGACCTTCCCCGTTGTGCGTGGCACGACCTCCCCCGTTGTGCGTGGCACGACCTCCCCCGTTGTGCGTGGTACGACCGTCCCCTCCCCCCCTACCCATGGTTGATTATTGCACGACCGCGTACAGTTTCTGCATCTTAACTTGATCACATTTTACTCCTGTTTCTTATTTTTTTTTCCTTCCCAGAGAGATACTTTTTCAGATGTTGGTTGTTCTTGCCCTGGTTGTTCTTCTGTGTCGTTGTGCGTGGCACGACCTCCCCCGTTGTGCGTGGCACGACCTCCCCCGTTGTGCGTGGCACGACCTCCCCCGTTGTGCGTGGCATGACCTCCCCCGTTGTGCGTGGCACGACCACGTTCAGCTTCTGCATCTTAACTTTACTACATTTCTCTTCTGCTTACTTTTTTTTTCCTTCACAGAGATACTTTTTGTGGGTGTCAGGGTCAGTGTAGTTTTGACAACAAAGGCTGCTGTCAGTGATGTTTGGTCGATGCCTTTTGTTGTGAAGGTCCAGAGGTGAGAAGGTAGTTGGAATAGTAGGAATGAAACATAAAAGGTTCAGAACTACTAGCCTATATAGGGAGAGAAGGGGAACCTCAATGAGTCTATCCCTATCCCCCAACAATGGAAACCCATCCAACTTACATACTAACTTAACTAATCCCTTGATTAGGCCACACACCAGAATTCTACCAAACTTTCCTCCCCACCCAACCCACCTAAGGCGGCCGTAGACGCCCATATGTGATTTCTCCTCCAGACGTACAGCGACCACCGCGGCCCCATCATGACCATGGCGACGGATAACTCTGCCAGGATCCTCTTCACTGGCAGTGCTGACGCCACCGTCAGGACCTGGCACATCCGCACTGGCAAGCTCCTCAAGGTGGGTGAACGGCTCCTTAGTGCGGGGTTACGTCCCCCCCCCCCCCACGGTGGGTGGGGGGGGGTGTTGTCCTCGTCGTTCACATTGTGTCCATCACGGTCCAGTAAGGTAGTTGGTGCATTTCCGGATTTCAAATATAAATAAGTTTATTGCAGAGCCCCAGAAAGTACTCTTATAATTCAGGGTCCCAGAAAGTACCCTGGCAAGTACTTACCAGTACCCTATCCTCATATTCCAGCGCCTTACCCTCATATCCCAGCTTACTGTCCTCATATTCCAGCTTATTCTCCTCATATCCCAGCTTATTGTCCTCATATCCCAGCTTATTGTCCTCATATCCCAGCTTATTGTCCTCATATCCCAGCTTATTGTCCTCATATCCCAGCTTATTGTCCTCATATCCCAGCTTACTGTTCTCATATTCCAGCTTATTCTCCTCATATCCCAGCTTATTGTCCTCATATCCCAGCTTATTGTCCTCATATCCCAGCTTATTGTCCTCATATCCCAGCTTATTGTCCTCATATCCCAGCTTATTGTCCTCATATCCCAGCTTATTGTCCTCATATACTAGCTTATTGTCCTCATATCCCAGCTTATTGTCCTCATATCCCAGCTTACTGTCCTAATATCCCAGCTTATTGTCCTCGCATCTCAGTTCCTTGCACTTATGGTATATGACCTGACCTTCACCAAACATTACTACAAGCAACACCTGGGGTTGGGTGCCACAGGTGTTCGAGGGCCACACCCTGCAGATCATGTGCCTGCTGGTGGTGAACAAGCTCATGTACACGGCAGACTCCGCCGGTGTGGCCAAGTGCTGGGTGTGGAACCTGGGAGATAACACCAGAGATTACAAGGGCCACAAGCACTCCGTCACCTATCTCAGGTTCAACAAGGGCATCTGTGAGTACCTGTCTGTTTGTCTCTACCTGGGGCTGCTCAGGCAAGCTGTGATGGTGTATTATTCTCCAAATGTGAAATATGAAATTCGAAAACTATTTGAGTATACCATAGAATTCATTTGGTATTTGTTGATGAGGATGGGCTGATATATTTGGTTTGTGGTATACAGTGTACACCGGATGTGGCGACGGTGTGATTCGGTGCTTCGAAGCTAAGAGCGGGACGTTGGTTCGAAGCTTCATCACCAACGACTCACCGTCCGTCATTAATTGCTTCGCCGTGTGCGACAACAAGCTCTTCGCGGGTAGCCAGGACGGCAAGCTTAGGGTCTGGGACATCACCAACATAAAGTAGGTATCGCGAGTCTTTTGAGATAATATTATATATACCTGAGCATACTGAATAGGTTAGGCTATTTTGACCCCCTCCTAGATGTGAGTATAGCAACGGTCAATGTTATGGTACTAGTATATTTCAAAAATAATATATCTTTAGTACTATCTCAGACATATTCTCTGTAATGCTCCTTTCTTTTAAGAGAAATCTCATTACCGACTAATTTCAGCGAGGCTGTGGCGCCCATCCCTGAGAGCTTGGAGGCCAAGCCTGAGGCTGGGCAGTAACAGGAATTGATTCGGTATCTGAGGCCTTTGTTGACGTTATATGATGCTCATCAACTGTGCCTATGTGCAGCCTCAGACCACTCCTGCTGTTGTGTCCGGCATCCTGCCTCATCGCTTGTCATACACACACCTGATGACTTTACCCGTTTACCCATGTTGAAGATTACAAACTTCTCTATTCTGACACTTTCCTGGAGAGTGTCACAGTACAGTGACCAGCTCTCAAGATGGTCACAGTATAGATATTACTCTCAGATAATGAGTATGAGGCTGCTCTGTAACTCATTACTCTCAGATAATGAGTATGAGGCTGCTATGTAACTCATTACTCTCAGGTAATGGGTATGAGGCTGCTCTGTAACTCATTACTCTCGGGTAATGAGTATGAGGCTGCTCTGTAACTCATTACTCTCAGGTAATGGGTATGAGGCTGCTCTGTAACTCATTACTCTCAGGTAATGAGTATGAGGCTACTCTGTAACTCATTACTCTCGGGTAATGAGTATGAGGCTACTCTGTAACTCATTACTCTCGGGTAATGAGTATGAGGCTACTCTGTAACTCATTACTCTCGGGTAATGAGTATGAGGCTGCTCTGTAACTCATTACTCTCAGGTAATGAGTATGAGGCTGCTCTGTAACTCATTACTCTCGGGTAATGAGTATGAGGCTGCTCTGTAACTCATTACTCTCAGGTAATGAGTATGAGGCTGCTCTGTAACTCATTACTCTCAGGTAATGGGTATGAGGCTGCTCTGTCACTCATTACTCTCAGGTAATGGGTATGAGGCTGCTCTGTCACTCATTACTCTCAGGTAATGAGTATGAGGCTGCTCTGTAACTCATTACTCTCAGGTAATGAGTATGAGGCTGCTCTGTAACTCATTACTCTCAGGTAATGGGTATGAGGCTGCTCTGTCACTCATTACTCTCAGGTAATGAGTATGAGGCTGCCCTGAAATTCAATGAAAACAAAATTTCATATTTTCACCAATACTTCTCTAACAATTATCAGGTGTAATAATACTCTAAAACGATCCAATTCTCAATAGTTGATTATGACAAGATCACTAATCTGTATCACCTTATAGTATCGTCACCTTATAGTATTAGTTGAATTAGTGTCTGTGTGATCTTTATATCTTCTAGTTATTATTATTATTATAAGATAATAAGCCAAACTTGTATATTTGTGAAATTGATGTAAGGAATATACACCAAGTCTTTCACACTCTCCTGAGTGGTTTATCAAGGTCTGAGTGTGTGGTGAGAACGAGACTTACATCTCAACGTCTGATCGTCTAATCTAATCACATACTCAGACTTTAATAAAGCACTCAGGTGAGTACGAAAGACTTGGTGTAAATTCTTTACATCAATTTCACAAATGCACACGTGTGGGTTTTTATTAAATGTTATTATGTCTGTGGGCTGGTGAGAAGACATTACCATTACTCTAATTGTTATTAGTATTCCTATTATTTATAAATTTATATTATTATAATATATAATTATAATATTATTATAATATTATAATTTGTTGTCGACATTTTTATTATATATAGTTTTGATCCTTTTCATGAACTGAAATACGTGACATGTGGTATTATATATATGACAAGTGATGTTATATCTGTCATTATAACTGTAACGTGTCATTATAATTGTGATTTGTGAGGCCTATATATATGTATATAGTATTGATTTTTGTTTGCTTAGAGACATGATTGAGAGCAGTTATGTGCCTGTTGCCTTAGTGGTAACCAAAAGATTGGTGCACATGTCCCACACAGGCTATTTTATGTTTGGAAAAATAACGTTTGTCTAGGGTTGGTAATTATAGCACAAAAATGCAAGCACTAGGCTTTGTGGGGGAGAAAGTCCATTCTATGTGTTTTTACTGCTGCTCATACCTGATGAACCTCTCTGTAAAAAAAAGAGAGCATAGTTTGGATATTTTGTAAGGCAATTTGATAACAATATACTTATACAAAGTGTTTTCTGTGTGTCTAAATAATGTTTTCAGACTTTCTTCCACGACAGTGTTGTGTCAATGATGAAAGGCAGAGTGTGTTATAGCTCCCCTAGCCTAGAGGTGAACATTTCATCTCAACCAACGTTAAGATAAAGATACATCGGGAAGGGGATGTGGAGGGGGGCAATAACCCCTTAAAGGGTGGCAAAAGGGCCGACCCGGACCTCCCTACGAGACTCCAAAAATCATTAATCACCCTGCAAAGTTGCTTGAGGCTGGCCTGAAGAACCTGGCTTCCCACCATGCACAGATAAACAGGCGGGCTTTTTCTTTTATTGATAGATGGAGTACCCGGTGATGCCCGGTTCTCTCTCTGTCTTTGTCTGACTTTGTCAGTCTCTCTCCCATTCTCCCACCCTACTTCCTTCCCGCTCTCTCTCTACTTCCCTCCCATTCTCTCTCTCCCCCATTATCCCTCATGCTCCCTCCCTCCCTACTGTTCTCTCTTTCCATTCTCTCTCACTTCCTCTCTCCCCCTCCGATTCTCTTCCTCAGTCCCTGCCTCTCTACTGTTCTCTCCCTCCCTCCCATTCTCTCTCTCTCGCTACCTCTCTACTATTCTCTACTATTCTCTCCTTCCCTCCCATTCTCTGTTCAATCCCCGACCGTCCAAGTGGTTGGGCACCATTCCTTCCCCCCCCCATCCCATCCCAAATCCTTACGATGATCCGTTCCCAGTGTTATATAGTCGTAATGGCTTGGCGCTTTCTCCTGACAGTTCCCTTTCCTCTCTCTCCCTCCCTTCATCCCATTCTCTCTCTACCTGTCCCTTCCGTTCTCTCGTCCAGTGAGCACAGCAAAAGTGGTAAAGACTGTCGTCGATCAGTGTCTTCTTTCGTCATTCTTTATTCGTCTTATTTGATTTTTTTTTGTCTTCTCCTTCTTTGCTTTGGGTCGTGGAGGTATCTGCTGCTGGTATCACTGTCATCATCAGGGTAAAGTGGACAGTAGCGCTGATCCGTGAGATCTCTTGTGTAGAATGCAGAGTTCGTCACCCTGCTGAAATGTCTTCTCCTGGAATGGTGTCCCGTTCCCCTCATACCGGTAAAGTAGCAAAAGTTGTTGTAGATGCTGGTAAGACGTCTAGTTTCAGGAGATCCGTCTTTTCCGGGGAGCATTTCGTTCTTGTAAGCTGGTGTAGCGGATTTGCTGGTGTAAGCGCTCTTGCTCGTCAACTTGCAGTGATGAGGTGGCATGGGAGAGTATGTAGCGAGCGAGGATTAAGCCCAAACAATACAGCTGAACCTCCTCAATGGGTCGCAGTGCCAATGGAAGGCGGCATTCTGGCTCTCAGTGCTGCTCGTCTGCTCGCTCGGAACTTCCTGGGGAAGTTATTCCTTGGTCGAGTAGGAACTCGATCGACCTCGATAAGCGTCCTGTCCTCGGAAGTCAAAAAATACCATCGGCAGTGTATTCGAGCATTTAATTTGTACAATTAAACTATCAAATTCCAGATAGAGGGCCTATTACTTTACTGAAGTTAGCGGAGCAGTTTCTATGTAACACTTTCTTTTATAATATATAATAGAAAATTTTGACTGTAGGTTTAAAGAAAATGGTTCAGTATTTGAGTGGTAATATCAAATATTACACCTTCTATCTTTCTTTTATAATATGCACATTTTGGTATGTATAACATACATAACCTCGAATAACAAAACTAATACAACCTAGAATTAAAAAATAATCTAAAATAACATAAATTTCTAAAACTGTAGTTCTGGTTGTTGTTTTAGGGGTGACTTCGGCAACTGTGTGTGTGTGTGTTCTGAACAACACACGTCCCAACAAAATCAGTTTTTGAGAGACAATTAAGATGTCTATTTTCTAGTCGTCTTAATCGCCGGATAAAGATATCTTCTATAGCGTTATCCGGCTCTGTCTCCCCTGCTATCCTGCGCAGTTTAGGTGTATGTGCTGCCAGTTGTGGAGCTCTGATGGCCAATGTCGTGTGACGCACTTTATACCTCATTCCTTTATAAATGACAACATTCTTGTTGCTTACGAGGCTGTGATCAAAACGCTGTTATACTGATCAGCGGCGTTCTATGGCCACACTTCTCCACTTGGTATGTTGTTATAGATTCAGCTACTCGGAACAAGTTCCAAGTAGCACGGGTTATGGTGAGCCCGTAGCTTACCTGGCACAGGAGCGGGGCTGTGTACTGTATACATGGTATACTGTACATGGTATACTGAAGTGAGTTAAAGATCATTTGCTGTTGGGTATGCACTACCAGAAGTTGGGATGCTTAACGTCACGCTGACATGACGCTGACGTCATCATTGTAAACAATAATTATGAATATGATTGAAATTTAATGTCCAATGCAGTCCACATTTAGCAGCAAAATGGCCCGTGAAATGCCATTTGCATATAATTTCCATAATTACTGAAGATTTAATTAGGCGGTCTAATTCTTTAAAATACATTTTCTTGAACCACTTCTAAAGTATGTCATTAATTCATTTGGTGGCACTCTGTCATATTCTAATGACCCTTCCCATGATTTGATCTTTATTAATCTTCACAAGAGCCTCTTTTTTTTGTTCCCAGAAGTAAATGAAGAAGTATTTACTGTATAAGGTAGGATATTATTTAAATTTAATTATAATTTTTATTATTCATATTATTTGAATGTTTAATACAAAGATTATTCTTAACTTATTATCGTCAATTGCGAAAATGGTAATTGTAATATTATATGTTTACCTTATTTTGTATTATTATTTTTACTATTAGAAATATTTTAAGTAATGTAGAAACAGTAGTAGTCCGAGTGAATTAATCTGCTTCTAGTAATAATGATAGGCTTCACAAAGTGTGGATTTATGTGTATCTAGTATTAATGGTAGGCCTCGTAACTATTTAATTCATTTATGTGGCCAGGGACACAGCAAGAAAGTTGTTTAACTCTCTCATTCAAGTAGTTGGTTTAGTAGCTCAAACTGCTGTATGCAGTTAATAATTGTTTATTACAGCCTACAATGACAAATTTACTACGTAACAATGTAGCCTAGTCATACAACCAGTAACGTATCAGGAATGACAGTAAAAAAGCATTTAAGGATTTTTCGGCAAAGTTTGTAATTTGTAAATGCTACAGGGAATACAATTTTGTACATTTATTCTTGGAATATTGTAAATCTTGTTACATATCATCCAGTAGTTAGCGTATAGACGCTTGCTAACTGCTGAAGTGACCTTAGTAAGAGTTGTCGGACGAACTAACGATACTCCAGTGATCCAGAGGTGCCTCAAAGGCAACGTCGTTAGACACGTTAATTTCTAGTCTTATACTCTGACTAGTTAGAATAAAGATAAAACATTTAATCAAGGCGATTGAATTAACAACACATATTGGCATTCTACAAAATGCTCTAATTGAGGTACAAATTATATTGGGGGGATTCTCAGCTAGCATATCATGCACGGTCGTTAAATTACACACCTGTTTGTTTCAATAGGCTGTAACTTACAATCTTAACTTGTGTAACGTTAACTTATGTAAAAGTTAACTTATGTAACTTATCAACATAACTTCTCTGTTATCACAGTAGCCTCTGCAAACTATGCAACACTGCTCCTCTCCTCTCAGTGCGATGACAGTTTTTTTTAATTCAGTTTCCCGTGTAACGGTTATTTAGCGGTAACATTCATTATTGTTATTCATGCACTTAATTATTCTACTAACATTTCCTGAGACCCCCACACGTATATTTATATATTATATTGCATTAAATAAACACTCCATAAAAATCTCATATGCAAATTTAAACAAGCCTAATGTATATAGAAAAAACCTAATGCATTCTTTTTTTTTCTTCAATTATTTTCTCTTTGACACAACTACCTATACATGAAGATTGATTTACATACCGTATTCCTCATTAGTTAAGATTTTAAATATTCTGAGATGTTCTTGTATGCAAATTGCTATAGGCTCCTGCTACTGGTCATGGCTGAATGCTACTGTCTCCACACTCGGACGGGTGCTAAGAATCCCCATTAAACTGAGTTGGGCATAAGTGACAATTAGAATGGGTCGAGTATGAGTGCCCATTTGACTGAGCCGAGCATGGCACGAGTATTATTTCTAAGAAGACTTACAAACAAAGATTCCGTATACCCCTGATTGCTTTTATTTAACCTTACGTTCATTCCACTTTTGGTTAAACATACGCTCTGAAAACAGTTATCAAAGCACGTCTATTTTACTGGAGAACGATAATCTCTGAATGGATATTGGATGTTGTCAGTGATGTGATCGTAGCTGCCGTGGGGAATGGTGTTGCCGTTGTAGGAAGTCGTGGTGTCCACCTTTCCTATCTCGAAGTTGAGGTCGTAGTACTGCCTGGCGGTGGAGCAGTCGAAGTTGAACCACCAGTCACATACGAAGAACTGCTGGTTGAAGACTGTGCCGTTGGGGCAGAGGAACGAGTCCATGCGGCCGTTCGCCTGACAGATGTGGAACACCTGCACCAGAAAGCCAAGACACATGTTTCCTATGTGGATTACCAGTGCTGTAATTCAAGCATACGAAAGCAAAATTTACACTATCTCAGTTATACGTTATCATTAAATCCATCAGATGCTATAACGGTGCCCGGAAATCTACCTCCTTCAACGGAATATTCAGAGGCATCAGATTATCATAGTTATATTATGAAAATGAAAAAACATACGTTGGAAAAAAAGGTGTAGAATATTTAGACAATTATTTATTTCAGATCACGGTAAGAAAGGCACGAAACTAAATTACTGATTAGATTAGATCTTTGGCTTAGGAACAGTATAAGAATTATTTAAAATTATTGGATCAAAGCGAACAATTAGTCGTGCCTGATAAACTCTGCGAGTGGAAGTGAACCATGTCACGCTATGCTGCCAGCCAAGACAACTAACCGGAACTTGTACTACAGCTCACCTGGCATCCTGCAGCGGGATCTGTGTCGGCGTAATACCCCGGGAGAGAGTCGCAGACGAAGGCCGTCGACGGGACGGTAGACAGGAGCAGATAGTCCCGTCCGGGAGTCCCAGGGATGACGTCCAGGTATCCGCTTGTGAACACCACCCCCAGGTTGTTGTGCTGCCCTACAGACGCACCACCACCTCCGGTGTAGCCGCCACCACCACCTCCTCCGCTATCACCACCCCTACTGTAGCCGCCTCCATTATCACCGCCACCACCTCCAATATAGTCGCCGTCGTTATCACCACTGAAGCCGCCACCGCCGTCTTTATTACCAATGACAAAATTACCCTCACTGCTTCTCCTAGGTTCTCTGGAACTAGCCTCACCGTGCCCCTTACTCCCAGCTCCACTGTTGCCACCTACTACATGATTACTCGGAATGGTTTTAGTTCCCCTATTTGCCTTTCTGAATATCTGGGTGTTGAGAGCAGCTCCTCCTCCCTGTCCTACTACTCGACTGGTCAATCGACTGCTGGAAGTGTCTCTAACATGTCCCTTATTGGGGTTTGGGATTCCACCAACAAAGGGGGTATTTCTGCCACTGTTACCAACGAGACCTCTGTTGAAGTTGCTGACCGCAGTCTGTCCAGAGTACCCACTGTTGCTGCTGGCAACACCGACACCATTACTACTGGCAAAACCACTGCCGTTGTCTCCTTCAACACTATTTATAAAAACTCCAGTGTTCCTTCCATTAGCTCCAGTCTTACTGCTGTATAGAATGCCTCCGCTTGCTCCAGTGCGGCTGAGGACACTGCCACCACCACCACCACCACTACTGCTGCTTGGATCTCTAATGCCGAATTCAACATCACTACCAATCGTAAGTCCACCTTCGTCTCCTCCACCTCCGTCACGGTCACTAGTAGTGGCAGGGCCAGAACTGTCACCGCTGTTGTTACTACCATCTTCGCTGTAACTACTAGAACCCAAATTACCACTTCCAATAGGACTAATAGAGCTAAAACTACCACCTCCACTCTGACTACTGGAAATTAAACTACCAACTTCACTGTAACTACTAGATCCAGAACTACCACCTCTTCTTTGACTACCAGAGTCTAAACTACCACCTCCACTGTAACGCCTTGAACCAAAACTACCACCTCCACCGTGACTATCAGAATCTAAACTAAAACCTCCACTGTAGCTACTAGAACTAAAACTTCCAACTCCATTTTGGCTACCAGAGCCAAAACCATCACTTCTAAGGTGAGTAGCCGAGGTCAAACTACCACCTCCAGTGCGACTACCAGAGTCAAAACTACCGCTTCCCCCACCACTGCTAGAACGGTACCCGCCTCCACCTCCAGTACCTCTACCCGCTCCTCCGCCACCGACATGAGCAACAAAAGTGCTACCAGCGCCTCTAACAAACCCCCTGGTAGCTCTAACCAACTCATCACCACCCTTCAAGTCGGTGCTGGAGGCGATGTTGTCGTCAAGGAAGTCCTTCCCACCGCCGGTCATCTTGTCGAAGTAAGTGAGGACCTTGTTGCTGGCTTCCTCCTTCAGGGTGTCACCGGTGCTCCATCCTGCCAAGGCTCCTGTACCCGGGATGGTTGGGAAGATAGAGAGAATGAACAGTGCAGCCCGTACTGGCCAAGGGGACGACCTTACGTGAGGCTTCGTACCGTTGGAGAGCGTACAAACCCACACTTAATATAACTGCCGTGTCTCATTTGGCGGGGCTCTATGCCTGAGACATGGATCTCGGTGAAGATAAGAATAATACGAGTCTAAGAATAAACAATGAGTAATAATTTTGAGAGAGGAACAGGAAGGGATGAAGACGAAGGAAACATCAGTTTAGGTAAAGATGGAATAGAAGTAAAAACCGGAACGTACCAAGAACACAAATTCTAATTTTCAAAAGATAAGATAACGAATTATGCTTACACACACACACAGACAGCCCTGATTAACACACAATCTCATTAATATAAACCCTGATTAACACATACAAATTCTGATTAAGATACCTGATTAACTGACTATTCATATCCTGAATAACATGCACATCCTAAATAACAAACACATACATCATGTTTAACATGTACAAACCGATCAACATACACAAATCCTGATTAACAAGGTTATAAATATAACATCATTTATATGACCCCAATGTCTCCTTCAGGCCCGGCCCTCAACATATAGCTGACTACAATATACTCTAAAAAATATATACATAAGTATAAACCGTGATTTGAATTCCATTTCACATTAATCTTCTGAGTTTTCGTATGAAAATTGCCATAAGTAAGAACAGTAGATGATGTATATAACATTCTCAAATTCAAATTAAACGAAATCTACAGACTCCTGAATAATCTGCATCGAGTTTATATATCTAGTTATTTACTCTAACCAACATTTGCATACTCAAGATACTAAATACGCATAGGGCACTTCACATCAGAACTGCAAAAGGCATTGCTTTAATTATTTGCTGAATCTCTAGTAAGAAAACTACGATAGGCCACTTCAATGTGTCTGAAACACACCTGCCAGGAACACTCTTGCACGCACTCACAAACTAAAACATTTACAGTCAGTAAATCACATCTACTAACACTGTGTTAGGACAACCCATTCTCTATCCTAGTCGTTGCATTTTAACGGAATAGACCGATCTGTAAAAAAACGTGACGTATAATACAAAATAAAGCACTGAAATATTGTAACAGTGAGCGTTAACTTAGAGTTAGGTACATTGATTGGGTTCGTACGTTCCTTGTTTTGCAAGACAGTTAGTTTTTTTCGGAGTGACAAATGGTGAGAACGGGGCTCAACTTTCCTATGATCGGCGAATAAGCCAAAAGAATCTCATGAAAATGATTAAAACTTAATATTTTCTCCTATTTGTCATGACTAAGTCTCCTGTGCGGTTAGTCCCTGCGTCTCAACGCTTCCCAACGAGCTCAGTCGATTAAGGCAGTGTCTGGGATGCTCCCGGACGTAGGTTCGAATCCACGTCACGGCCCTTGTGGATTTGTTCATTGTTGTATTAACGTTGTATCTCTGCTGGGTACCACATGGAAACAGTCGGTCAACAAGAAGTCAAATTCGATTTATATACACTATAGCCACGTTGAGAATGTTATATCATAAGCAGAGTCAACTCTGTTTGCAATGTCAAGCTGAAATTGCTGCTTGGTCATCCAGTACATTTAAGAGCTAATTAGGAGAAATTGCAACTGATTTGAAAGCATTATTGCTAATTAGTAGGCTATAATGCAAAGCAAATGCATTGCAGTTCATCCTATTTTGCAAATGATTGTCCGTATATCGCCTAAATTTTCAATGTTTATTGGAGGTATGCTGTATCGCTGTTTTTTATCTATGTTTAAAATACGTACATGCTCATAAGGCATTATAGGGACAATTAAAAATATCACAATTTACAGTAATATAATTTTAAGGGAAATATTTTGTTTATATAATCATTTTAAACTGAAAGTTTTATTGTATTCTTCCTTTCTAAAATTATATAAATTAGCATAATTATTGTATTTCTAATTTTCCTACACTTCACTTCAAGATTTAACATAAAAATGCCAAAAATTAGTGTACCATGTGACATTAGGCTATAGGTGCGTATCTCCTATACCTATAGGTAATATTTAAAACAAATTATGTCTCTTTAAAGATTAGTGACGTTTACAAATTAAACATATTTGTGTGCATTTATTTGACCCTACATTCGTCAGTAAGCAAGTGCTGATAATACAAATTTCAGGCTATCAACTGGACTGTTCGCTTGTTATCGTCGTGTATTTAACGAAGAGGAAAAAACATTGAATTTTTTTTAACAGTTGGAGGTAACTGCACAAAATATGTAACTACGTTTACTGTTGGTTTATAGAGCAATAACAGGGGAAAAGGCTGGATGGTCTGACCACGTGTATATGTGACGGAGGCAACCAGCTACCCAAGGGGTCGCTACCAGACCGGGGCTGGTCGCCGGTGTGGGAACACGCAGTCGCTCGCCTCCTTTACCGCCATAATTGCTGTTTTAACTGCGAAACTGACGTTATTGGAATTATTGAGTGCTAAATGGCGTCCGAGGGTGAATTTGGGGGGAGTGAGTTCATGGTTAATTGTGCGTGGAGGAGAGTTTGCGTGTGTGTACGGGAGGAAAGGCAGCTTCACCTCGCCACGCCTGCCAGAGGTAAGTACCCTCACATAGCCACGCTATCCGGTGATGATTATGCCGCCTCTAGTGCAAAATGTCTTGCGTATTTTGGTGTTATATTATTGATGTTTAATTAAAGAAATGTCAATAACGGTACTCACTGTATGGTCAGCTGTTTCTTACCTTTCGTGCTCTATTGTGTATTTCTAAGGTGTGTGCAGCGTTTTCCCTCTACAGTTATCGTCAATTATTGTAGGACGATTGACTGGGAACCCATCATAACTTCACTCAGCAGTTATTGGGGAACTGGGAGTAAAAGGATTGTCGGGTCGTGTTCTAGGGAAACTATATAGTAAGATATGACTTACCATGAACTATGGAAAGCAACAGCTTTCAGCCTAATGAGAGGCAGATCGTCTCAGAATCCTGAAAGGCGTCAGAAGACCTCTACTCCTATTACCATCGGCGAAATTAATGCAGTACAAAAAATAGAACACGGAATAGGTGGCAACCGTGCCATGTAGTTGCCGCCATAACCTCCTCCATCTGGAAGCCTTCACCCGTGCATATCTTGGCTCAGAATTTACTAGAATTCTGAAAAAAAAATCCTGAATACTGCTTTCTCCTCTGAGCATTTAATGACACGAAGTCGTTGGTTGGGCATTTTCGTCAGGCATGTTGCAAGTTTTGGAGTATTAGATACACATTAGCCGTGGCAATGAAATTGAAGCAATAGAATAAATATCATAAGTTTGCGAGGAATTGTATTTAATATTTTGTGCAGCAATATAGCAGCCACTCTTTGGAAATAAGTGACATCGCCAGATTCCTCGCACGGTGTTGCCATCTTACAAGCCAAGTTGCTGCCAATCAATGTTTTATTATACGTTTGCTAATCCTGGTTTTACGTTTTCAGTAACAGGTTACAGTCAAAATATATTTTAGCAAGATTTTCTATTTAGTATTTAAAATCGGTGATCGATGTTGGTGAATAGATGTCAGGATTATAGATATCTGTTGTTCGGTTTAATCAAGGCAGAGTTTCTTGTTAAAGTAAAATGTAGATTATATCGCGGTTTAGCGGTACTGCTTTCATATTTGAGCTGAAATTGTCACTAAAATACTCTCCTCCTCAAATTTAATATCTTGTGAGAGACATTAAACAAATTTGGTGAAGATAGCTTGGTTAGACGGCAGCGATACATTAGGCTACCACAGCTGGGCTCTTACCTATTAGTGCAAGGTATTCGCCACCTTGTTCACTTATATGGCCTACTGTATTTTTGAAATTATTACTCTTTGTAGTGTCAAATAAGTTAGCCTAATTGCTCTATGCCTGCCCCTTTTGTTATCTATGATTACTTTAGCTACTCTTCGAAAACTTTGTGTTGTTCCCTACTGCTTAATTGTAAGAATTCTTTATCATCCTTAATTGCGCTTCACTTTGTTTTTTTTTAAGCACGTTTGTAAAATGCTCGTGTCTGAAACTAGGCACAAATACCACAAAATTATTGCTGATAAGTCCATTTTGTATGGACTCCATTTCATGTTGACTTCAGAATTCATGATAGCTTAAGATCAGTTAGCTTAAGAATCTTCCCTTCAAGAAAAAGTTGACTAATCTTCGATTGCCTATAAGGTGCCAGAGAACAACAATGTACCAACATCTTCAACTAGATCGTGTATATTTGAGGCAAAGTGAAATCTACACCAGCAATTCCATCTGTTTCCAAACTATCAAGCCAGAACATCAAATATCATCCAATAAAATTATCACACTCTGATTTTTTGATGATACTAATGCTCGGCTTAGACTGTTATAGGTATCTCTGGGCACCCCGTCCTCTTAAGGCTTCCCAACGTCAAGAAACTGTTGAAATCCTAACTTACCAGAGGACCCTAAACAGAAAACTGGACAGTATGTCAATTTCACGAGCCGCTACCATTTTCTAGTACGACAATTATTGGCCTTAGGAGGTATACGTCAAAAAGCAACGCTCTATTAGGAGGCTGGATGTGATGCATGCATGTTAATCCCGAACTGTCAAGTGGAAACACCAAGTCGCGAATACTTATCGTAAGTGTTTCTTGTAGGAAACCGTGCACCAGAAAGCGATCGTAAGTCTTGTCTGTAGGCTCCCGTCCTCCCAGAAGTAGTCGTAAGGTATCTGTAGGCTGCCGTCAACCCAGAAGTAGTCGTAAGTCTTGTCTGTAGGCGACCGTCCTCCCAGAAGTACAGTAGTCGTAAGTTATCTGCACTCTCCCAGAAGTAGTCGTAAGTTATCTGTAGGCTCCCGTCCTCCTAGAAGTAATCGTAAGTCTTGTCTGTAGTACTTCCAGAAGTAATGACTCCTCACGCAGACTCTTACCGAGAACCACCAGCTTGACGGCTACGGCCCTCATCCTGAAGCTTTCTCTGAGCTCCCTGCTAAGCTCGCCCTTCCCTCTGGGTCTGACACGGCGCTTGTGAAAGTTGGCGACGGTCTTCACTACCTATATAGCAACCACGGAAGCACAACTGGGATGATACCAGATAGTGTTTACTGATCACCTTTCACAGTCAACACATGGCACTGGGATGATACCAGATAGTGTTTACTGATCACCTTTCACAGTCAACACATGGCATTCGATAATCACAAATTATTTCCCTAGCTTTAATAAATAGTGTAATTATTATGCAATTCGAGAGGGAACCATAGGAAAACTATGAAAATTCTTGGAGTAAGCTTAAAAATCAGCGAAGAGCCATTACGTCTTGCTTCCTGGTACAGTGTCTTTCACCATGACCAGTTGACTATACACATTTGTTCAGTTGACCATACTATATACACTCTCTCACATACCCCGACACCCACCCGCACATCACCCCCCTTGCTAGGCTTCGACGTCCTATTTAAAACTGTAAGAACAGGCGTGAACAATGCAGGCATGATATTACTGGTATAGATTGCACGCCTTGGTGGAATTGTGTTTAATGCTCGTTTGAGAAGCGATGTGTTGCTTGGTAACACTGATTTAAATTCTTGTCAAGTTTTTATAAATTGTGCATCATTCAATTTTCGGCACAACTCGTGTATCTGATATTTTGCTACTGTCGTAGAGATTATTTTGGTTTGCAGTATTAGGCCTAACTATTGCAATTATTCGTGATAACACGGTGAATGTGAATGTAGAATGTTAGACTCTTAACTGTAGAATGTTAGGCTAGAAAGTAGATCAGTAGAAACTGTATAATTCCACATTATATACGTAAATTAAATAAATTCTATCTTATCCTGACCTATCCTCTGATAGGTCAGAGCATGAAACCTGCTGTATCAGGGGAGTTTTTTATTAAATTGGATTTGATCGTACTATTAGTGAACACCAAACTTATATTAAGTTTCTTAAAAATCGGACACGGTTTTTCAAGTCCACTCGCATATGGTACCACCAATGAGTTAATAATTTCTGGTTTCGCCTTGGGGCCGTGATTATAAAACGTACGCTTGGCTTGTTCAAACGAGAAATCGAAAAACCTCTTAGGATATTGTAAACTCTTCCCAATTTCATATATTTTAGCAATCTCTTCATAACAAAACTCAGGGCTGCATACCCTCAAAGCTCGTAGAAACATTCCTGAAAATACTGCAAAGTTTGTTGTGAAGAGATTGCTAAAATATATGAAATTGGGAAGAGTTTACAATATCCTAAGAGGTTTTTCGATTTCTCGTTTGAACAAGCCAAGCGTACGTTTTATAATCACGGCCCCAAGGCGAAACCAGAAATTATTAACTCAGTGGTGGTACCTTATGCGAGTGAACTTGAAAAACTGTCTCCGATTTTTAAGAAACTTAATATAAATATGGTGTTCACTAATAGTACGATCAAATCCAATTTAATAAAAAAAACTCCCCTGATACAGCAGGTTGTGTGTATTCGATTCCCTGCAATGATTGTGATTTTGTGTACCTTGGACAAACAGGAAAGTCCTTACAAATGCGGTTGTCACAACATGCTTATAGTATTAGAACTGCCCAAACGTCTAATGCATTGTATCTGCACACGAGTTTATGCGATCACAATATTAACTGGAATGGGGCGAAAAGCATTACCAATTGTGGTGGTTTTGTGGAACGGAATTTGATTGAGTCTGCTCTAATCAGTCAGTGTCCAAATCTTCTTAATGTTAGTACTGGAATGTACAAACTTGATCCATTTTTAAGTTATAATATTGCTCAACAGTTTAAGAAAAAACTCTGATAGAGAGGCTTACAATGTCTCATTACAATTTTATATTCATATATTGTGTGTTCATGAGGCTTTTCTTTAATCTTTCATCCTTAGTCTCTGACCGCTTAATCCTCTTTGA